ATTAGTCAAGTGGCGAATGCCCAGAATGGGCAATCTTTTAAGGCTTTTAAAAGCGATTGGACCAAGTTGGATGGTGAAGGCAGGAATGTGTCTACTTCTGGATATTCAGCCTTGGTTCGGGGAGACCATTTGAGGCCCCTGGGACTTCCTCGCCTTCTTGGTTGTTATTATTTGTTTTCTGGTCTCACGTGTTAGTCTTTATAATCAAGTATGTCGTCTGGATGTTTCTTGCTTCTTGCGTCCACTACTTCGTTGAAATGTTCAGCGCGTCCACGAGTTCAAGGTTGTCGTGTGCAGTAGTGTACACATTTACATTTATTTGCTGACCTTAACCTAAGCATGAGCTCTCCGACACCTTCAACACCAACTTGCACATTTTTGTTGTAGGCACTTCGACAGATTTTGAAATGAACAGGCAGTGCGTTAAGTGTTCCTTGTGGGAACTCACATTACTGTGTCTTGTAGAACCGTTGCATACTTCAAAAGCTACTCGTTTGTCGATGACTGTGTCCCCTCTAACAGCTTTCTCCAACTGTAAAGCATGGCGCCGCAGGATACTCACAGTTTGTGGCTAGGAGCTCCTAGATCCCCCGGTTGAACCTGCTGACCGTCGGCGCTGCCACGCAGGCATGCGCTCCACACCGTTGCGACCATACTTCCGCTCCAGTGTGATATTAATGAAGAAGCAAGTTCTGCCCCCACTGGCAACCAGGGAGGCATCTGCTTGCACACTTTTTTTCGTGTGATCACGACTGACTAATGCGCTGACTGGAGGCGTTTTGCGTCGTCTTAATTATGCTCAGCGTTGCTTCAGACGGTCTTTGAAACTGAGTATTGCTTAGCTGGTGCGTTGAATTCGTCCGATAATTGTTAAAAGACGGCCTCGCACAGTTCTGTCTAATGCATTTCCTTCCTTTCTGCTAAATACAACTGCGGCAGTTCATAATGTTGGGCACTTCGGCTCTGTTAGAGCCACTGCCTTGGATATGTGTGATGCCTATCTCGTTAAGCTAAATATTTGCTTTGCCGCTGCTTAGAGTTGGCTCCGTCGTTGAAAACAAAGCCTGAAACCTTTTGCGCTCAGGTTTCGCGGGTGTCGAAACTTTCGTATGGTACTCTGTGGCGTTTGATCACCTGCATGCATGCAGCAGTGGCCTACACGTCCAGGAAAAGCAATGCATGCGCAGGATGTGCGTCTAATTCCCTAATGGCCACAACCAAGATTCCATGTATAAGAGTTAAAACCTATTTAAGTTGGTTAAACAGTTCCGTGCGTTCCATTAGCTGCTGTTGCACATTGCGCCTTCACGTATATGAAGCTTCTGATATATAAGCGCTGGGCTGTACTCTCTGGTTGTCACAGGTTGCTTCCTCTTCTCTCATCTTAATTCGTGACCCGTAGCTGGCACGCCTAACTAGCTTTGTATTTTTGTGGGGATATAAAAGATTGTCTTGATTCCATCACCACTTTCAATGGCCCAGTTTTTTTGTATGTGTTTGTATGCCATTGTAGCTATAACCACATTTTTCTGTTTAGCAAACGCCTTCAGCAGTTGCGTGGACACAGAGACACTCCTGGGATTGCTCAGCTAGTGCGCCGCCCTGTCCCAGATGAAATCGAATATGTGTTTCAAAAGCGATCTCCTAAAAGAAATCAAGCGCAGTTTCTTGAACGCCAGCGCGGTTATTACAGGTTATTCAACGCCTATGGATGCGCAGTTTGTCCTGCTTTGTGGATCCCAGGGGTGGCCAGCTGGGTTCGCTAGCATGTGCCTGAAATGGTCGGCACAATCAGCATCTGCCTCAGCAACGCATTTGAGAGAATTGCTAAAAGCAATTGGATAATCCATCAGATTCGCGCGGCAGTGCTGGGTACTTGCGCCAAGCTTTCGGTTGTGCAGGAAGTACGTATATACGCACAATAAATGTTGTGGTTAGCCTAGGAGGAGCAAAGGAAAACGTAGCGTTGGCGACTCTTTTCAAGGTGTTATTTCTCAAACTGCTTGGCATCTTGGGAGTGGCCGGTTATACGGTAGACGTAAGCCGCTCTTGCATATTTGCAGGTAACATTAATATTCGCATATATTGTTGTGTTGCTGCGTATTGATGTGGTGATTTTAGGAAGCGCGTTCGGATATAACTGAGGTGTTTAGTGGATCACAACCGTAGCCTGGACTTCACCAGATGCTTTTGCCTTGCTTCCTGTTGTGTTTTATGTGCCAACTATTCCATGCACTTGTCGGCTTCGCAGCCTGACTGTGCCTCGCAACTAGATGTCAAGAAGGATGAAACTTCCGCATATTAGCAGCGCACGTCCTTGCAGCAGTAGAGAGGCGCCCAACTCAATATGAGTGTGCTGTCGCCCCGCTCCTCGCACTTTCGCTCGTTATGTGCATATTCAAGTATGCATGTAGTAGTGGTCTGAACTCGACGGGGCAAATTGCAACCGCCAGCTGTTTCTCGTCAACAAAAACGAGCTTACATAGGAAGCTGCAATGCGGCATACCCTTTCTAGCTGCACATGGTTTTATGGCTGGCAACAAACCAGCGTTTATCAGGATTGTTTTGCATGTGACAGTCAAAGAAGTTCGGTTGTGAGGAAGCACTGATAAGCAGATGATTTGGTTTGGTACACAAACGTTGCGTCTCAGGGCTACGGCTATGTCAGTGGCTGGCTATGCTGCGCCGCTCGTCTAATACGGCATGCGTTCTCCCGCCTGGCAAGTCCCATGCGCGGTCCTGAAGATTAGGAATCTCGTGTAGGATTTACCTCTGTGAAAGAGCCTAGATGTTGTTGACGCTCCAATCAAGGCGTGGTGGGCGGAGGGGCTGATTCATGCAAGATTGCAGTGTACTTGCGTGAAAGGGTGCGCTAATGTAACATAACGGTGCAAACAGGCGAACCCGTGCAAGTATTGCCCTTTCCACATCCGGCTTCAAATGCCTAGAATTGCCAGTTCTATGCAGAGCACCGTACCGTTTCAGGCTGCCTTATGCAAGCAACTTTGGAAATCTGCTTCGACATTGCGATGCGTTTCCCGCGAAGCCTCGTGCGGCTCGAAAATGCACTTGTTCTAGTGGTGGCGGCAGATCAATGATTAGGCAGCTGGGGAAAACCTAATTGGACGCTTAGCATGGTAGTACTCAAATGGGCTGTTCACAGGCCCTGACAGCTTCCGTCCGAAGATTTGCCGTGACAACACAAACTAGGGGTCGAAGTGCCGGCACTAGCAACAACTTTGCGGATTCGCCAGACATTCATGGCTTGCAGGCGACGACTGCCCCCCTGCACATGACGGTGCCTTCCGTGCAGTTACATCAAAGGGAGATGACCTGCAGCGGCTTGTGCTAGGATTTGTTCTATTCGTTTGCATTTTCATTGGTGCAGTAAGTACGTTGCCATGGATTAGTGTGGCTTGACGTTCCCTCTGTAACAGCCAGTGGTGAAAATTCGTCTATCCCACGGTGGCTATTTCGTACTCCAAGACAAAAATTTTCAGGTTGCTTGCAAACACGCCGGTAGCATCTTAAGCACTGTTTGTCCCACGAGAGCCGTGATTCCCGTTGGTTTTGCCCTGGGCTCCTCTCCCGACGAAGTTCACAACGTGCTTTCAGTTGGTGACCAAATTTCCTACTTCGTGTAGTTCCCGTTTTGAACAGTTGACTGGTAAGGCCTCGACGTTTTGCGACCTTCACACTACACAGCTTAAGCTCTATGCTTCCACTTGTGAAGGAGCAACTAAGCTTCTCGAACGCGTACTCCGCTATGTCAGCTAGGAACACAAGAAGTCCAAAGGATGTTGAGATGCTACAAGGAATAGCTTTATGGCGACGACAAAGGGGAGGACTCCCAGCCACTAGGTCTTGTTGAGGGCCCCGCCTCGTTCTTAACACCCTCTCAACTGGAAATAACACGACACGGCACCGGGGTTTGCACTTTAGATTTAAGACTAATCTCTCTTCCGCGTATTGTTCATACAGACCTGTGCATCTTTGCCTTTGATACACGCTCTTTGCGTTTGTTTGCGATATCTGTTTTTTTCTGCCCCCCTATCTGCATTTTCGTTGAGTGTTCTCGTCTTTGTCACTTCATTCGCTGAAAAAAAAGTTACTTGGAATGCAGCAAACAGTAATTCGCTAACAACAGCGCACCCGGACTCTTGCCGACAGGCTCGGACCAAAGGGAAAATATATGCAAGCAAGCTGTTAGGGAGGCGAACAGACAAAAAGCCATGCAGGGAGCATCCACGCACTGCATGACTGAAGGGCAAGAAAGAGGGAAAGATAGGAACCAACTGTGTGTTGTGAGCATACCGGCAGGGACATGCAAATGCAGCGATTAAATAAGAGGAACATATAAGAAAAGCGAACCAGTGGCCGGCAGAGTGACTCGAATAATGAACAGAAGAATTAGACACCTGCTCGCCTGTTCTTACTGTTGCTAATAGACCCTGCCTTGTAGCGTGTCAGTCACGTTTCCGGTGCTTCTGCAAGCAGTGCAAAAAAGGAGGGCGACAGACAATGGCTAGTGGACGCAACAGCAGCAGCAGTAGCTAAGCCAGCAACATCAGGAACTGCCACTGAATCTTTATCACTGGGCTGACTGTTAAATGGATCGTATGGATTACTACCTAAAACTGGAGCAGCAACTCCGGCTGCTAATGCTTCTGCCCAAGTTGCAGCACCGGTAGCACGGCAGTTTTGTGATACCGGTGTTGGCGAAGGCAGTCCAATACCAAACGCCTCGAACGGATATGCTGCTGCAGTAGCTTATGTTGCTGCAGCAGGTGCCGCTGCCGCTAGTGCCCACTGTACAAAACAGCAGCTGCTGCAGCTTTTGCGCTTGTTGCTGCTGCAGCGACAACCAAACAAAATAAGCCCCATTCCACAAAGCGGTTCTGCGCAGCTGCTGCTAACAAATTATGCCCGCACAGTTTCTGTGGTGGCACGTGCTATTGCGGTTGTCGCTGCTGCTGCGGTTAGTGCTTGAGGCCTTCATTCTAGGCAGTCAGGCGCAAGTGGTGGGCTGCCTGCAGTTCAATTGCCCAGCGCAGTCCTCCAAAGACGCACAAACCTACCGACCACTGACCGCTGACGAACTGTCCATACACCACAGGCGCTGCAGCGCCCGCAGCAGCAGCAATCAGCTGCCACCCTGACAAATTGATGGAAGCCGTCTTGTAGGTCAGCTGCCTCATTGCGCCTTCACCCCGAGGCCGCGCACGCATAGCTGTTGTTTTTCCCTTCTTCCCCGACGGGTTTACTCCTTCTGCTGCTTCTGTGGGTGCTGCTGCAGCGGGACACTTTGGGGCTGCTGCGCCTAAGTCATCAGAGCTCTTTATGCAGGAGGAAAGGGTTGCAGTTCCTGCTGAGGTAGAGGTGAGCGAGGAGTAACGGTCAGGCAATCCCTCAACACGGGTGGCACCTGCTGCGCCCCCTGTTGCTGCTGCTGCAGTTTGGCCCCCCGCCTGTTCGTCTTCTTGCTGCTTTGCCGCCACTGCTAACCCGCAGGGAAGACTGAAGGCGAGCAGCAGCGATAGCCAGACATTGCCGCTGCTGTTGCTGCTTTTCTTGTTTTCCTTACTGCTGCTGCTGCAAACGGAGGCCAGCAGAAGCGAGGCACCAGCAGCAACCGCACAATGTGCGATAAGGTGGAGTTTGTGTGGGGCGCAGGAGAGCCAGTAGACGCCCGCTACCGCGAGTGCATGCAAGAGGAAGAGCAGCAGCACTCTGTTGCTGCTGAGGTGCGGAAGGTAGCTGCTGCAGTACAGCCTCAAGAACAGTACGGCGTATGATGTGTACATAGCCAGTGCGATTTGCGCATTCACCACCTGCTGCGGATCATGAAGACAGAGGGCTCCTTTCGTTGCCAAATACATCCCCACAAGCATTTGTGCTATCTGCATGAGAGTTATTGCTGGGCGCGACTGCCGCAGCACCTGGTGCAGCAAGCTCCTGCTGCTGCTGTTGCTGCTGCTGCTACGGGTGCCGCTGGAAGTGCTGATGTTGCTGCTGGCATCTTTGGAGCTCCTGGGCGTTGCTGCCGATACGCAGCAAGACAAGCAGTAGTATAGGTACATGAGAGAGTGCACCCCGAGGTTCATAAGAACAAATCCGTGGGCAAAGTCCACATTGGTGCGCTGGGCAGACCAGCAGTAGAGGGTGACGGTTAGGTGGTGGTAGACGTGGAGGAAAGAAAGGGGCTTCTTTTTAAACACGAGAATGAATGTGTCTCCGAATTCTACCGCTTTAGTTAAAGTGAAGAGGGCCACAACGACACGCACGGGCGGCTCAAACAGACGCTCCGGGTGTATAGGCACCGTGAACAGCGACGGCTGCTGGATTAACACCGTCACGAAACCAAGGAAAGACAGCAGAGAAAGCACCAGATTCCAAACAAAGGCTACGCCACGCAGAGAATACGCAGGCCGTCCAGACATGACCCAACGCAGGACATACACTGCAGGCAAGTAGAGCAAGCATGTGGTCATTATGTGCCACTGAAAATGCACTGCCAGCTCAACCCCCTTGCCGGGACCCCAGGACTCCGCAGGGAACATCCATGACAGCACGCGGCAGAGAGGTCTGTATCCCACGGCGCATATCACCGCTGCAGATGCTGCCACTGTAGCGACTGCTGTGGCGGCACTGGTTGCTGCTGCAGCGCCGCTCTTGCTCGCTGCTGCTGTCATCCTGCCCCTCCAAGAAATATGCATACAGGGCAAAGGGAGGAGGTGGAGCAAGGGGGGTAAATCAGGACAGAACAAGGTTCGATCAGAGAGAGCAACGAGAAAGCGGAGAGACAGTCGAGCAAAGTCAGAAATGAGCAGGTCACACACAACACAAACGTGCAGCAAACTGCTGCAGCTGTTTTTGCTGCTGCGGAGACCGTCGTTGTTGCTGCTGCTCACGCCGTTGTTGTTCCTGTTGCTGACGCTGCCGTTCCCCTGTCGGTGTTAATACTCTCCTGTCAATATATTTCGACAGTGCAGCACGGAAAACAGGCGGCAAATGGCGCCTGTGGTGGGTGGTCGGTGCTGCAGCCGCGGCAGCACAAGCTTGAGCAGCAGGCCGAGAGCAGCAGACACCGGATGTGTTGGCTACAAGCGGATTAGAATGAAACTTCTAGAAGAATCAGCTGAACGTGAGCCGAAACAGAAAAAAAAAGACATATCATGACAACTGCTGCAGCGCAGCAGCTGCCTGCGGGTGCCTCGGCGCGCAGCAGCACCGACGACCAGAGACTGGCGGTGTTAAGCTGCAAGATGATGAACAAACAGCTGAAAATCGTCTTAGCAAACAAAAAAGCAATCTGAGTGCAAAAGTAAGAAAAAAGAAGCTTAGACAGGCGGCGAAACGCCTCTGATAATCCCCTGCCGGCTGTTAGACCAAACGCCCACAGAGCAAGGCTGCGGCAGCCGCGCGCAAAATAGGCATAAAGCTGACGGTAAAAACCAGTTCTTTTGGGAATTAATTCAACGCTTGCTATATGATTTACTGTTTTATCAGTATTTTCACATTATTTCATGTAAATGTCGGCTTCCTCCTCCCTCCACTCCCCTGCTGCAATCCACGGCGCAGCACGTGTCCTGCCGCCGCAGAGGACATGGCCGCTGCAGCCTCCCTTTCTTAGGACGCTAAGTGAAAAATGAGTCAGACTGCTACTTATTTGATACGTTAAATGAATTCAAGAATCACAACATGGAACCATCAAGCATGCAGCTCGCAGACGTCAGCCGCCAAACACACCCCGCAGCCAACTCGCGCACACAGCGCACGCGCAAGCACGCCTTTCCGAGTGTACGTACACTGCGCGGCAGAATGCGTGTAAGATCTGTAAAAATGCATTCTTTATTCCAGCTGAGTAACAACAGCGCAGCGCAAGACCGCCCCCAACCCCGCCAGCTAGGCAAAACACAGTCATGAGCACTAAACCGGAACTCTCAGAGCCGAAAGGGTAACGAGGGAATAAAAGGCTTAAAGGGGACCTTCCGATGTTCCTTCACGGACAGAGCATACGCGCTTCTACTGCTGTGTCTGCTGATGCTTCTGCTGTTCCTGCTGGAGGCAGCAGTCACACATTTGCAGGATCGTGCAGAGGAGAATCGTGCAGGGACTTCGCCCCAGGACGTTGAATACGCAAAAATACTTCTTTGTGTCCAGGTCTTCGCTGCCCAAAAAGTCGGCATTTTGCATCGTGATGCATGATTCGCTAATGCTTAAGGTGGAGGGCTTGAGGATAATCTTGTACTCCGTATGCACGGTCCGTGTTAGAGCTGCACCGCTGCAACCCAAACAAAACAACCAAGCGATTTGGGTGCATCATATCCCAGCAGACGGAAGAACCTAGTACGAGGTTTTCAGCGACTCTATAAAGGAAGGTATATGTTATTCCTTAATGTAAAGAAGAGTGAATAAATACTTTTTACTTGCCTTCGTGGGCAGACTGATTTATTTGAGTGGATATGTTTGGAATAGAGCCACCTAACATGCACTGGTAATCTTTTCTTTCATTGCAATGGGGGTGTTTGCTGTGTCTAGCCATGATATGGGATTTTCGTTCTCTGTTGAGCCACGAACACGGCTTGTTGTTGAAAGGCGAAAAGGTGCGGCATTCAGGCTTTTCATTCGCCATATCAAAGGAAGTTTATTTGATTGCTCTGTGGATAAAGGCAAGAATCTCAGGGACGATACTAAACACAGATAGGACACATTCAGGTCTGCATACGAACAAACAACGAAAATAATGCATTACAGCCTGTTCGTTAGCGCATTAAGTACAGGTAGTGCACCAATGAACGCAGCAAGAACACAGTTTTGCTCATAAGTACAGCAAGCACAACTCCAGATCCTTAGGGTGGGCATATGATATGTTGGCATTCATCCCAAAAATCTGCCTGCAAAACACAGTATTATAACCAAGGTATAGAGAAGTGACAGTACACTATTGCACGCTGTTGGCTTGATACGTAAAACCGACTCCCATCTGCAAGCAAGCTGCAAATGAGAAGCTCATATATGAAGCGGCGTTTGGAGTCTAAAAAAAGACTCCTTGGCGATCTTGGACATTGTTTGAGCAGGGACCACGGCTTTGTCAGGCGTGGTAAGTTCTAATGGTTAATGCTGCGACGCATTTTGGTTAGTAAAGACTCAGCGTTGCTCTTTCCCCCCGTCGTTTGGTGTCAGTGCTGCTTTTTCTGTCTTTATTGCCAAATCATAAACCCCGCAAATTGTTCACTTCTGCCTGGGGTCCCAAGAAGCCTCCTATGACTATAACCTTTTCATGTCGTACAACTGATATCAAAATGTGGGATCACAAAAAGTAAGGCATAAAACCGCAGTTTCGCAAGAGAGAAAAGCCAAAAGCCTACAGAAGGGACCCTGGTTACTCTTCACGCAACTCACTACCCACCCAAACGATCTGTGGCTGCTGCTACATCCCCCGTTCTGCTGTTTCTTTCAACGCATCCAAAGACAAAAACAAGTAAGTAGGGTCTTTAGAGGTTCGCCAGCTGCTGCAGGCCAGCCATCATCTAGCCAGTGGGTCTAGCTAGCCCCTGGCAGAGCTGTATTTTGAACACTGAATACTTAAGATGGGACAGTGGCTGTTTGTGCCTGTTTGTGAGTATGCCGTTTGGTCCAGTAGACCCCTGACTTCTTTACCAAAACGTGGGTTTGTTCTGTGTTAGGACTCGTCCTACTGATAAGATCCCACATCACTTCTAGAGACCTTGCTACAGCCTCCGGTATCTCACCGAGGGCTTCATACTTCCACAGAGCTGCATGTTGAGGGGAGCCTATATAATATGCACATTTATGCATATTTATATGTAGTATCCACATCTGAATAAATATGCGTGACTTGTGGTGCATGCGCAAGATTGCAGGCACAGCGACCCCTTTCCTTGCAGTTGTCGTCCTTGAAATTTGGCTCGCTTGTTCCTCTAAAAACGCTAATGAGTTTTCTGGTCTGAAAGGTTTTTTAAACTCTGTTTCATGACCGCCCGCTACAATTCGCCACCAACTGCAGTGGAACTGCTGCTCGTCGGGCTACAGACGCAAACACCGCCTCAATTTTGTTGTTGACGCTGTCTGCCGGCAAATAAATTTTGATTTAATATAAAAATAAAGTTAACGCACACTGTCAAGGAGCACAAAGTAAGTAAAACAAGTTGCAAGACCCCAACACCCTCAGCCATCACTCACCACCAACAGCAGCCGCGAGCCGTTGACCACTGGTCCCTTGAGAGTGCTGCGTGAGCAGATCTTCCTCCCGTCTTTGTTCTTGTTTTATCTCTTTAATATCTCATTTTAGAGGAAAGGGGTTGCTACTTTCATACGCATGCAACGAATGGCGCTGCCACACCCCAAGTCTCGCTCGTTGGGCTTCTTGGGGGCCTCGATGCCTCAGCGGGGCCCCAGCGGAGGGGACCCCTGTTGGCCGCCTGAAGCTATTCCTGCCCCTGCAGTCCAGCTGGTAGAGGAGGAGCTGCGAGAGCTCGTAAGGTCGGACATTCACCGCTTTGGCGTCGTTACGCACCAAAGGGCTCCAGACCCAGCCTGCCCCTTCCCCCCCAGATGCAGCAAGAGGACGGATGTACGGCTCCACTCAGCCTATAGACCAGAAGAAGCACACCCATGGGACCACCTGCAACCTCCCGGGGGATTGACGCCTAGGTTTGACAAGCGCTCCTCCACAAGTAGGGACCCGAAGCCAGTAGAAACGGTGAGTGCGTTGGGCGTGAGCATGTGCTACCGAGGCCGAAACTTTGGAGGGAAAAGCTTAGAAAGCCTCAAGAAAAGTGCAAACGGAGGGGCAAACATCAGAGAGAGAACGCAGACACGAAGCGCACACAAGGGAAACTTAAGAAAACAGGAGTTGCACTTGAAGAGCGAACAACGCATACAGCACAAAACCGCAAACGAAGAGCACAGATACAGCATATACAGACGCATAAGCAGGTAGACAGAGCTGCGGAAGAAAGGCGGATATATACATATATGTATATCCATATCATTGTCTTAAACGCGTGCTGGGTTGTTGTTGTAAGGAGGTTCTAAAGGCATGATGATTGCTTGTGTTTCTATCCCACTTCGCCTTTCTCCTCGTCCCTGGCATTCGACTGTTACATGTTTCTTCGCGTGCATTTTGTGTTGCTTCCATCATCTATGCGTGTACTTGTTTGGTTCCTATCTTCGTGTGTTGTGCTCATAACGGAATACCCTCAGGGACCTCAGCAGCCTACACTGGAGGACCTTTGGTTTGCAGCTGCATACAAAGGAATCAAGTCAACTCAAAGGCAGCGGAGGCCCCCAGCACTTCCTCTTGCAGATTGGAGCCTCGCGGCGCCTGCGGCGCAAGTTGCAGCGCATGTAGACGGGGCAGAGGGTGCCATTGGGGAGCAAGCCCGACAGCTGGTGTATCCGCTGTCTCATCACAGAGCGGACAGTGCAGGCGTTCTTGAGCCCTTGCCAGCCCTTCACGAGGACGACTTCCTTAGGGGACCCGGTGGCCCCCCACTGAGCGAGGAGAGTAGGAAACACCTGTTGGTCTTTGGGCTCGACTACAAGGAAACCCTTAGCCCACGCAACAGGAGAGAGTGGGCCCCCATGGAAAGGGAGAGGTGGGGACGCTCGCGCCTCCTCAGATATCTCATCAAGACACAGCAAGTGCGCCTTTTGCCCCTTCACGCGCAGACCCTATACCCTTTTGCACAACCCCAAACGGGAGGCCTCAAGCGGCCATAATCACAGGGACCCTTACCAAAATAAAGAAAGGGAAGAAAGGCGGCTACCCAAGGGTTTGGCAAGTTGAATATGCTGCTCACAGGTCGTGTTTAATCGGGACTTGCTCAATAGAGAGTTCAGAGAAGACTGCGACAAATACTTAAAAAAGAACCACAACCTCAGGCGGAGGAACTCGCGCACTAGCGCAGATATCTCGCAATCAGCCGCGCCACACTGGCCAGCTGCAACTACATCCATCCAGCAGGGGGGGCTCCAAAAAGCCTCCCGAAACAGCACTTCGGATGATCCCAACGGGAGGGGTCCCCATTCGCGGGTTCCTTGTTGGTGGGGCCCGTCGCCGGTACCTAAGAGCAACGATGGCTCCTTACGAGGGCCAGTGGCATGGGAGGCCCCTTCAAATTATTATCTCAGGGCCCCCCGTGTGTCAGTGGTTTTTAGACTGAGAAGAGGGCCCCAGCTTGAGTGTCCTCCATTACAGCAGCGGAAGCCTGCAGAGGCGAGAGGGTTTGGGGAGACCCCAGAGAGGAGTTTGCTGCGGGTTCCGCATGGGGCCCCCCATGGGTCAACACAAGGGGGCCGATGGGGGGGCCCCCACGAGACTACTGATGGGGAGGTGGGGTGTGCAGTGATGCAGGAACGCAGAGGCAGTGCACGGAAAGGAGACTGGAGGAAGTGGGTTATGTGGGCAGCAGGAGGCACACGCGAAGAGGGGCAAGGACAAGCTGACAAGGCCAACGAGAACGAGGGAGAAGGAAATACAGAGATAGATGAAGACAACGAGGAGGAAGAGTACAGGCGGCACCTTCCTTGGTGCTACCACTTTCAGTATGAAAGAGACGTCGTCCCCGAACGAACTGAAAAAAAGACAAAAAAGCAAAGACCACACAGACGACCCATGCCACAACAGTTGGAGGATCTCAAGCTTCATAGTAAACCCGCAAGCTCTGAACCCCAAACCCTACACCCTAACAGTGAACTGTCCTCCCTAAGGCTGGTACTCAGATGATGCGAAGGGGGATTAGTGTTCGTGGCTTTTTCATTTGCAGAGGCGTGGGAGACCGAGTTAATTCGTCTGTTTGAAGCGGCAGAAGGAGACATGCCCTCTCTCTTCGTGGGAACGGGCAAACCAATGCAAGTTGCTGCCGATGCTGCTGTTGCAGATGATGCTGTTGTTGCTGCTGATGCTGCTGTTGTTGGCCTGCTACCACTGATGGTCTTGCCGCTGCTGCAGTGATAAGGCTTTGGAATCGTGCTGGGGATCCGTGCAAATGCTGTTGCTGAAGATAATCATGCCCACAGCGTTTGCTGCCGCTGTTGACACATCCTCAAGGTGTTGGTGCTGCTGCTTCTATTGCTGCTGCGCAGCCGACAGAAACACCCTAAGGACAAGACCGTCCCCTTTGCCTTGTTGAGGGAATATGGGACCTTCATCGACCAGATCACCACATGCGGGCCATTGCAGCAGGTGAATCAACCTAACTTCTGCTGTTGCCGCTGCTGCTGCAGCTGCAGCGGTTCTGCCGTAGCTTGTGTTTTGGTGCTGTCGATCCTGCAGTTGCAGCTGAAGCTGTTTGTTGCGGTCGTAGCTATAGTTGATATCCCAATGAGGCCAAAGCTGCAGCAGACGTAGCAACCGGGGCCCCACCGAGCCGCATCACTAGTACCAGAAGTAACAGCAGGAGTAGCAGCAGAAGTAGCGGCAGCAGTGGCAGCAAGAGTAGAAACGCGTGATTGGTATACGTTTTTGAACAGGAAGTGGAGAAGTGCCTGTTAGAAGCAACCGGTGCAAAACCCGAGAGGAACATTCCCCACATGGACCCGCCTAAGGGGCCCCGCGTGAACCCCAACTACAACTTAGACAAAGACAAATTGGAGGCAGCAGCAAAGAAGCTGCATGTACACATCGAACAGCCGCAAACGTTTGAAGGCATCGAGAAGAGAAGGAGACCGCTCCTTGACAAAGAAACCAAAGTCCTGGGGGGAGGAAGATACGTTGTATAAGGACTACCCTACACATCCTGCTGGTGCTTGTGTTGCTGCTGCGAATCGTGGGGCGAATGCCAACAAGGGATCATGAACGGGCAACTAATAATGCAGCAGCAGTGACAACAGCGGGAAAGGGACGATTAGTGCAGCAGCAGCAGCGGCAGCAGCAGCAGCAACGCCAACCGTAGTTGCACCATTGATGGCTATGCGCTTAGTTTGAAAATTAGCAAACGCCAAAAATATCAACTTTAAAACAAACACACAAACCGATGCCAAGGAGAGAAAAAGGAAGAGACAGAAGAAATTGACTGCATTTGTGCAGTAGCAGCAGAAGCAGCAGCAGCAACTGCTGCTGCTGCTGGGCGCGCTGCTGCATCTCCCATTGCGGCGGATTCAACTAGACTATGGTGGCAGTAAGCGCTGTTCGGATGTCCCGCAGCAGCAGCTGCAGCTGGAGAGCTGCAGCAGCTTGAGGTGCAACCGCTGCAGCAAAAGCTGGAGCAGCGGAGAACTAGTGCTGAATGCCCTGCTGCAGATGCTGCACGAGGTCGTATGCCCTCGTGGTGAGGGACTGAAGCGCCTCCCAAATTTTCGTCTCCATGAACGCCGCCGCTTGTAAAGGAGACAAATGCAGCTGGAACCGAGCCCTGCACACAAGCATAAAACCCTAAACCCTAAACTCTAAGCCCTGAGCCCACGGTGAAGCGAATGGGGTTAAAAAAATTTGCATTTTCTATAAAATTATTGAGTGACTATTTTTTCATTTGTAGAGATTTCAAATATATTTGAATTTAAAAATTAAAATGTAATCACATAAACAGAAGAAGAGACAGAAGTGGTTTAGTGTTGCAGGGTTTGGAGCTGCAGCCACAAAGAAGACTGGAGACAAATCCCTCAGTATAAACTACCAAACCATTTACCCCAGACGCACCTGAGGTGCTCCACAGCAAAGGGCTTGAAACAAGCAATGCGAGAGAATTGCATCGCGTCGAATAGCGATATGAAGTCGTCTGCCCTCTCCCGTAGAACAAGGAACCTAAACAGCAGCAACAGCAACAGCAGCAGCAGCAGCAACAGGTTGAAAATGCAACAAATACAGAGGTGAGCTGCAAGAACGGAGACAGACTAATGAAGACTGACACGGACAAGCAAATGCAGGAGACAAAAACAGACAGAAGCTGCAGCAGGAAGAAACAACCAGCAAACAGCAACAGAGAGATGGATAGGGAACGAGAAGGCTACAGCCACATAAGATATGGGACAAAAACGAGCAGAAGTAGTGACACTGCGGCAGAGCTAGTACTATATTCGGACATCTCCTGCAGTGGAGACAGAGGCATTCTCTGGCTCAGTATACTGTTACCACAAACGCATGTTGCTGCTACTGCTGCTACTAAATCCGCTACCAGTGCTGCTTTCGCTGCTGCTGCGGGTGCTTCTGCTGCTGCTGCAGCAGCAGCAGCAGCATCTACGTGGAAGCTCGCGCACTCACCCTCTGACGCATTTGTTAACAAAGGAGCGGAACTGTGGGCTCTGTTCCTTGCCTAGAAGAGCACACATCTCAGCAGTGAGTTTAAATGGAGCTCTTTCAAAGGCCATGTCCCCGCCGGGAGACAACGCCAACATAAACCCAAAGTCAATGTGCAGCAGACGGCCCGATTGAACCGATAGCAGCACGTTGCCGTTGTGTCTGTCTTTAACCTGCAGCAACTCAACAAGCAATAAGCAATAGAAACAACTGTAAACAACAGCAACATAATAAAGAGCAGCTGCAAACTGCAGCACGAAACAAAGGGCAAGCAAGCACGTTACAACAAGAATGAACCGCTGCAGCGTGACATAACAAAAAGCCAACACAGTGGTGCTACCCCCTACACTACTCAGCAGCAGCAACACCAGCACTAGTATGACTTAACAAAACAGAAAAAAGCAATACTTCTAAGTAGATAGCCCTATACGAAAAGACTCAACAGCAGCAGCACTTGTTGCACCACCGACGGCGATGTTAGCAGAAGCAGCATCGGTAATAGCAGCAGCACCGGTAGCAGCAGCAGCACTAACGACAGCGGTAGCACCATCAAGTACCTGCAGCAGGTAGCTGAGGACAGCATAAGCAGCTAAAGAGTCAGCGAAATTCTGTGTGGCGCTTTCAAAGGAAATGCGGTGAGGCCGCCCGCTTAGCAGCACCTCATCTTGCTGCTGCTGCTGCTGCTGCGTTCCCACACGCTGCTGCACTACTTGTTGCTGCTGCTGCTCCTGTTGCGTCTCGTCCACGTCGCTGTCGTTGCTTCCTCTGAATCGCTGCTGCCCAGAAGCCCTCCCCTCTCCTAAGTATCTGTGGCCTGCTGCTGCTGCTGCTGGTGCAGCAGCAGCAGCACCAGCAGAGTGCGTGTCGCCATTTGCAGGTTGCGGCATTGCGTGCGTGTTTCGGAGGCTGCTGCGTCTGCTGCTGCAGCTGGTGCTGCTGCTGGCTTCTTTGGGGAACGTCAGCGCAAAGAATTCAACAAGGGAGCAGCCAAATGTCTTTCCTATTTGATGCCGGCTGAAGGCATTTTCAACCACAGACACTGCACCGCCAAGCTGGCAGCCAGCCTTTCGCCCTCTTCCTGCTGCTGCTGCTGCTGCTGCAGAGCCTGAGACGCCTTCACCCGCAGGAGGCGAGTCGGACTGAAGCCCGTGGGGAGCGGTGGGAAGAAGCTGCTGTCTGCTGCTGCTGCTGCTGTTGCTTGCCGCTCCTGCGGATTCCACTGCAGATGCTCCTGCCGAGGCGCTAGCAAACCCTGCGAGAGGACCATCGTCGCTGCTGTCATACAGATGCTGGTGCGGGTGCTGCTGTTGCTGCTGATGCTGTTGCTGGTGTGCTGGTTCTGCTCTCTGGATTACAGCAGTGACGCCGTACGGTCGCAGCCACGAAGACTCCCCTGCAGAAGCGAGGACCGATAGGCACATCTGCAGCAGCAGCAGCAGCAGCAGCAGCAGCAAATGCAACACCCAGGTATGCATAAGTAGGCCACCCAGCAGCAGAGACGCAAAGGCCGGAACGCACAGTAAAGCCAACAGCAACGGCAAATATCCTGTTGAAACTGGCAGCAGCAGGGCAGCCATCCAGCTTCACGAAAACAGCAACAGCAGCATTAGCAGCGGACAAGACAGCAGCAAGAACAACACAGTAGCAGCAGCAGCAATGCCAATCTGGCTGCTAAGACGTCCCCCAGAAGGACGCCTGGGCAGCTTGAAAGCAGCAGCAGAGCCAGTAGCAGCAGCGACGAAGAAGCAGCAACAGCAATTTAGCAGCAGCAGCACCAAATTAACAGCAGCAGACGCAGCAAAGAACTACTAGCAGACATACACGCATAGCCTGGACAGCTAAGGCATCTTGCTGGAGGTCATCCAGAAGCTTGAAGATGCATGAGGGGTTTCTGCCGCCCTCAGCGGCCTCAAAAGACAGCAGAAATGGGGCCTAAAGGAAACAAAGAAATCAAAAACGATAAACAAATAAACAAAGGAACAAACATTCGAAAACAACCATGGCAAAAAGACAGGAGTAGAGAGGCAGACAAGGAGATAAACAACAGCAAACAAACATATTGAGACAAATATAAAGGCGGAAGGAGACAAAACGTTACAGACATCAAAGCTCTAGAAATGCGACAGCAAAACGCAAGGGAGACAGACAGAGGCAATACGCAGCAAAGGCGAGAGAAAACAAAACAAGAAAAAAACGAAGAGCCTCAAAGTTGAGCGAAAGAGAACACCAAGAAGAATGGCATGCACAAATGAAGCAAATGAGTCTGAAGATAAAACGAGAAGATAGGAAAAGAGAGTAAAGATAATTGAGATTGGGAGGCGTTCTTACCTTTGCTGCAGATTGCATGGCTGTCGCCGACTCAGGCAACGGCCGTTGAACCTTCAGGGCCTCCGTGAGCAGCCAAAAGCCCTCGCAAGGAGATGCCCTCTACGCACAAACACACAGGCAGCAGCAGCACAGCAGCAGCAACCGAAGCAGCAGCAGAAGCAGCAGCAGCAGCAGAAGCAGCAGACACATAATGCACGCCCAAATGCGTTCAAAACACACGCCCTTCAAAGCACTTGAGCAAATAACAAGAGCAACAAATACTACACTAAAGGGAGACTGCATTGTGGTTTAGGGTTTAGGGTTTAGGGTTTACCTGCAACTCTGCTATCTGCTGCACGAAGAAGGCCTTCCTCGCAGAAGGAGGAAGAACCACTGCACGTCCGCTGTACAAACAAACACCTTGCAGCAACCGTCCAAACCATAAACCCTTAACGCCAAACCCTAAACCCTAAACCGTACACCCTCGATACTTAACTCTACACCCTAAACCCTGAGTTCTGATTCAGAACTAAGCACCCTCGTAAGTTCCCAAAAAGGAGAACGACGAGCAGACACCCGCGAAAACAAACATCAATAAGAAACAGAGCGAGAGCGAGCGAGAGAGAGAGAGAGAGAGAGAGAGAGAGAGAGAGAGAGAGAGAGAGAGAGAGAGAGAGAGACTGGCATACAGAGAGAAAAAGCAACAAATATAGAGATAAGGACAATAAAAACAAGACAGCCAAGATAGAAAGACAACGAAGACAGACACAGAGAGAGACTGGCAATCAAGGAAGTAGAAAACAACAAAGACAGGCCAAGACAAATGGCAGATATACGCATATCTGCATGCTTCTATCTCTTTCTGCTGCAGCAAAAGGTGAAGCCCTTTTTATTTATGTCGACAGAGCGACCTACTGCCCTCATTACTCAACAGTGCTGTTCTTAGGACTAAGAACCCATCGCCCAGGTGACGAATAGCAGCAGCACAGCAGCAGCGCAGCAGCAGCACAGCAGCAGCGCAGCAGCAAGCCCTTTACCTCAAACCAATCACTGCCTTCCAATATTGCTCTTGACTGTCTAAGAAGTCCCTAGACCCCGCGCTCATCAACCGGAACAGCTCAGTCTGCAGCAGCAACAGAAGTAGCAGCAGCTGTAGTAATAGTAGTTGCAACAGTAGTAAGAGTAGTAACAGCAACAGCAGCAGCATCAGCACCAACAGCACCAGCAGCTGAGGCGAAGCAAGCCTAGGCAAAAGACTTTCCGCAACTCCATTAAGACGGGAAGCAAACCCCAGCCAGCCCTAAACCCTAAACCCTAAAACCCTAAACCCTAGACCGTAAAACCCTAAACCACAAATCGTAAATCTTCCACACGGTCTTACCCGCAGTTGCTTGGCTTTGGCAGCAAGGGGATCACTGTCTTCGAGCTGCAACCGCGGCATCAGCAGCAGCAGCAACAGCAGCAGAAGTGAAAGCATCGGCAATAGACACAAACGACTCAAGAAGGAGACAACCAACAGCAGAGAGAGGAGACAGTAGAAAAGGAACAAAAGAAAGAACAAATAACACTATTGTCCAAAGAAAACAGACAGATGCAGCATTTCTTACATTGGCAGCAGAGTCGAGCTGCATCACTAAAGACAGCTGGCGGTATGTACACCTGCTGCTGCTTCCAAGACGGCCTTCTTGGTGGTGGTGGTGATGCTGCTGCTGCTGCTGCCTACAGAAATCTGCAATGATAGCACCTTCCAGAGCTCTCCCTGGGTCGACACGAAGGGCCTGCAGCAGCTGCGGCTGTAGGAAGGAAAAGAGGTGCTGCTGCGGCGTTACTGGGATGCTGCTGCTGCTGCTGCTGTTGCTGCTGCTGCTGAGCAAAAGTACCTGGCAAGCAGCCGCACGCAGAATTTGAGTGGGGCCAACAGCCGCAACTTCACTTACAGGAGCTGTAATCTCTGCAGTGTGGCGCTTGCTGCTGCGGGTGGTGCTGCCGCTGCTGCAACTGCTGTTGCTGCTGCTGCTGCTGATGCAGCATGCTGCAGCCACTGCTGTTGCTGTGCTCTGCTGCAGCAGCAGCAGCAAGCCGTGGACTGGCAAAGAACTGCTGCAGTAGAGGAGACAGTGAATGACCATCCCCAAAGCGGGAAGAGGGCGCATTTGCTGCTGCTGCTGCTTCTGGTTGTGTTGCTGAGCCAATTGCGGTGTCTCTGCAGCAGCTCCACCGAGAAGGCACCCGCAAGATGGAAGTACTGAGCGTAAGCAGCCCATTACCTCTTGCTGTAGCAGCAGCAGCAGCAGACGCCACAGAGCGGACGCCCCTTCTGCAGGGGTTTGCTGCTGCAGTAGCAGCAGCTCCCTTATTGCCAACACCGGGTTCGCTGTTGCTGCTGCAACAGCAGGACAGGCCCACCTGCAGCACAACACATGCAAGGAAGCAGCTGTTGGTGAGATACTTAGTTGCCGCAGTTACTTCGGTCGCTACGATTGCTGCTGCTGCTGCTGCCGCTGCTGCTGCTACTCCTGCAGGCGGCCATCTAAAACAAAGGCGCGGGCTGCTGGGGGAAGCACAGCACACGCTTGCAGCTCACGTTGCAGCAGAAAAAATAGGAAAGGCTTGCAGCCGCATCGACGCCGAAGCAACAAGAGAGAGTGGAGCGTGTAGCAGCAAACTTGCTGCGGATGCTGCTGCTGCGACTGTACTGCTCCCTGGTGCTGCTGCAGCGTCAGCATTCTGCTCGCTAGCGTCCTTTGGCCGCTCTTTAAGCATCTTTTGCAGTTTCTCCGAAGGTAAGCCTTTGTTGCTGCTGCGTCGGGAGGCTGCTGCTGAGGCTGGCTGCTGCTGCAGCAAGCGCCGCAGCTGCTGCAAATCCGGATGCGGAGCCGTTGCAGCAGCAGGCCAGTGAACTTCCTGTGCAGCAGAGACTGCCGCTTCTGCTGCTGTAGAGGCTACAAGCTCCAAAGCATGCATTCTGTGCGCCCGGGCACTTCCCCAGGGCCTGCTGCTGCTGCTGTTGATGCTGCTGCTGCTGCTGCTGCTACTGGTGGCGCCTGCCTGGCCTGCTACAACTGCCCTTGCCTCCGCCGCAGCAGCTGCTGCTCCAGCTGCTGCCGCTGCTGCTTCTACTGCTGCTGCTGCATCAGCTGGGTTTTGGGGCACAATGTAGCAAAACGCAGCCACAAGGCGCTCGATCTCATCAAGAAGCAGCAGCCGCAGCAGCGCAGCAGCAGCAGGTGTTTCCTGCTTAACAACGCAAGTGTTTGCGCGGCTGCAGCAGAAGCTAGCATTGCTGCTGGGAAGTGAAAGAGACGGTGGTAGCTGCTCCTTCTGGACGAGGCGTCTGCTGCTGGTGCAGCAGCTGCAGCAGCTGCTGCAGCGCATATACCGATGCCCCTTGGGAACTCTGGAGCAGATGGCGCCGCAACGAGCAGCTGCACTGCGACCAGAGCAAGAACAACTGCTGCTGCTGCTGCTGCTGCTGCTAAGTGCAGCAGGCTCTAGCATGTCTGCGACGAAGGCCATGGAGTCAGCAAGCATTGCCAGTCGTTGCTTGGGGAAGCAGAAGCACGCGTTGCTGCTGCTGCTGTTGTTGCTGCTGCTGCTCCTGCTGCCGCTTCCAGTTGATAATGATCCAGTTGCAGCTGCAGCAGCAGCAGCAGCAGCTCTCACATCAGCACATTCACACGGCCGCAGCCAGCTTTCCTTAGCGGCTCGTTCAAGGAAGCAGCAAACTGCGCTGTATGTACACCGGAGCACCAGCAGCTGCTGCAGATGAGCAGCAGAGACCGCTCCTCTCCCTCGTAGCAGCGCCTGCTGCTCCGCAGCAAACGTCCCGTTGCACTGCAGCAGCAGCTGCTGCACCCTGGTGCGGTCCTCCAACAGCAAGCAGCAACGCGTGCCTTGCCGTTCGTGAAACTCCTGTCCCTGCTGCTGCTGCTGCCCACTGCAGCAGCAGCAGCAGCAAGAGGCCCCAGTAAGGCAGCAGCGGAGGGCTGTGAAGAGCAGCAAAGCGCTATCCAGCCGTCCAGCAGCAGCAGGGCCCCCAACGATGCTGCTGCGCTGCAGCTGCTCCAAGCCGAGCTGCGGAGACATCGCAGCACCGCTGCGAGCAGCAAACTTTGACAGCAGCAAGTGAGAGAAAGCTAAAGACAATGTCGCTCCTGCTGCATCAGCCGAATCGCCGCAGCAGCTGCTGCTCTCTCTGCTGCACCACGCATCTGACGGCGAGTCTAGGAGCTCATATACATCCACATCTTCTGCTGCAGCAGCTTCTTCCTCTGCGCGCTCTGCTGCTGCTGCTGAAGCAGCAGAGCGGCCCCACATCTGGGTGGCAAGTGTCTCCAAACTTCCCCGGAGTGCTGCATATGTGCGCCTGGAGGTTCCTTGCTGTTGCTGCAGTATTTGCTGCTGCTGCTGCAGCAGCAGGAGCTGAGCAGCAAGCGACGCTCGTCTCCCTCCTGAGGCGAGGTGGCCCTGCTGCACGAGTTTGTGTTGCTGTAGCAGCAGTAGCTGCTGTTTGTGCAGCAGCAGCCCAGGTAGATCCAGCTGCTGCGCCATGCGCAGCAGCAGCTCCTCGCGCCGCTGCTGCATATACAGCAGCGGTCCGTACACTGCAGAAGCAGCAGGACGCGTCTGGCTGTGGATGCGCAGCAGCAAATCGGGAGACGGGCCGGTTGGGCTGTCGAGTGCTTCATTTGAAAAGGTGGAAATCATTGCTGCTGCTGGGATTTGCTGCTGCAGCAGCAGCAACAAACACTCTCCCTCGGCGCACATATCTTGTTGCTGCTGCAGCGCTTGCTCCGCTCCAGACACCCAACAAGCTCGGAGCCACGGCCATCCGTTCGCTGCTGCTGCTGCTGCTGCTGTGCTTGCTGCTGCGCAGCAGGAAGACCCCAACAAAAACTGCTTTGGCGCACCAGCACGGACTGCAGCAAGTGCAGCAGCAACCATCTCCGCCCAAAGCCAAGCTACAGACCAAGGCAAGCCTTGCGTGATTACCTGCTGCAGCTGCTGCTGCTGCTGCTGCAGCAGCAGAAACGTTCCGTCTCTCAACGCAGTCGCAGCAGTCGCTGCAGCAGCCAAGCAGCGCCGCTGCAGCTCTCCACAGTCACATTCAAGCCCTTTAGTGCCTGTGCTGTTGCAGCTGCTACGGCGGCTGCTGCTAGTGCTGTTGTGACTCATTTGCCGCAGCAGCTGCTGCGCGTGCCGTTGCTCTTGCTGCTGCTCTTGCTGCTGCAGTGTGAGGTGCGCCGATGCCCACAGCTCCGCTGCTAGCAGCACTAGTGCAGCTGGCGTTCCAAATGAAGCAGCAGCTGCCGGACCTGCTGCTGCTGTGCGGGGACGCCAGGCCTCCTTGTTTATGCCCATCATGAGCTTGGCGTCAGTGGCAGCTTCTGGAGGTGCTGCTGCTGCCGCTTCCTGCTGCTGCTGTGTTTCATCACGCCTCTCCAGCAGCTGCTGCTGCGAGGCAGCAGCAGCAACAGACGTTGCAGCTGCAGCAGCCGCCGGAGGAAGGTTGTCTCCGCTACTAGCATGCAGCTGCACCGGTCTACCCAGCTGCTGCTGCTGCTGCAGCAGAACATGCAACTGCTGCACCTGTCGCGTGGCACTGAGGACAGCAGGAGCAGACGCAAACACCTGGGGCTGCTTCGCCTGCAGCAGCAGAGGAGCAGCAGCAGCTGCTGCAGCTTCAAAGCACCTACCAGAACTGCTGAATGACTCCCTCAGCAGCAGCTGCCAGCATCGCTGCAGCAGTTGCTGCTGCGTTGCACGTGCAGCAGTAGCAACACCATTAAAGGCCTGCTGCTGCTGCGCTTGAGGTTTGGACTGCAGCGCATTGGGCTGCTGCAGCTGCTGCAGCTGCAGCCGCTGCAGCTGCAACGCTACATTGGGTTGCAGCTGCCGCCAGCCGCCTGCAGCAGCAGCAGCAGCAGCAGCTGTGCCGTCCGCAGCATTCGCAGAGCGTCGTTTTGCTGCGGCTGCTGCCTCTACGATCAGCAGTAACAGCTCAAGAGACAGCAGCCGAACTTGCTGCTGTGAGAGATAAGTCTCCATCGCCTGCATTCCTTCCGGTTGCGCCTGCTGCTCCAGCTGTTGCTGCTGCTGCTGCTTCTGCTTCTGTTGTTGCTGCTGCTGTTGTTGCTGCTGTTGTTGCTTCTGCTGATACTGCTGCTGCTGCTGTTGTTGCTGCTGCTGCTGTTGCTGCTGCGGCAGGTTAACGTCGGTAAGCAACAGGGCACCAAACAAACAAAGCGCCGGGCCCGCAGCTCCCTCTTGAGCCCACGAGTGCAGCAGCTGCTGCAGCAGCTGCTGCAGCAGCTGCTGAAGCACCGAATTGAGCAGCGTTGCATATTGTTCCTGATAGCTTAGACGCCGATCCTGATCTGCTTGTCTGTCTTGTTGCTCCTCCGGCTGCTGCTGCTGCCCCTGCTGCTGCTGCTGCTGCTGCTGTCCTTCTTTTGCAAACAGCAGCGAAAGCACCTACAAGCAGCAAAAATCAAAAACTCGGCGTGCAGCTGCAGAAGCTGATAGAGCGGCAGCAGCGCCGGTAACAGACACAAAAGCAACTGCAGCAAAAGCAGCGGACGACGCAGAAGCAGCAACAATAGCAGCAGCAGCATAGGCAGACGCGCACCTGCAGCAACGCCAACACGAATCTGCTGCTCTGGGCTGCAGCAGGAACTGCATCAAGCAGCTGCTGCAGCAGCGACACGATTGCCGCTGGAGCCAGTTGGCGCATACCGCGCTGCAGCTGTTGCTGTTGTTGCTGCTGCTGCTGCATGCACCCAAATGTCCACCGCTGCTGCTGCTGAGGCGGACTGGACTTTACAGCAGCCGGCAGCAGCAGCAGCAATGCTGTTGCCCCCTACACACAGCAATGCGCGCAGAAGAAGCAGCAAGCCACAAAGCAAGAGCCACTACAGAAACGATAGCGCCGACAGCAGCTGCAGCAGCATCAAAACAGCACTTCGCTGATCCAGAGACAGCTACATCAGCACGATGCTGGTGCTACTCGGGGGCTTAGGAAGGACAGCAGCAACGCGGCATAGAAGCGAACAGCAGGCAACCAACAGAAGCAGCAACTGCAGCACCAGCAGCAGCAGCAGCTGCTGCTGCTGCAGCAGATCTGTCGTGGCGCTCACGTCTACAACTGCAGCGGCTTCTGGGGTATAGGCAGAAGAAGCGCGGCTGCTGCTGCCGCTTCTGCAGCAGCTGCTGTTGCAGCTGCTGCTGCACAACGCGCGGAAGCAGCAGCGCACGCCCCTAGTGTTGGTCGTCGGGCTGCTGCTGCTACGACAGTCAGTAAATTTTTCTGTCCACCGCTCCACAGCTAGGATTAAGGCCTTCCCTGCAGCAGCAGCACAAGCAGCAGCAGCAGCAGCATAAGCAGCCGCAGCGCATGCAGCAGCATTACAACCAGTAGCAGCAGCAGAACCTGACGAGACTGAACGTCGCTGCTGCCCCTTGAAGAACTCATGCTGCAGCTACGCTAGTGCAGCAATTGCTGCAGTCAGTGCTGCAGCAAGCGCTGCAGCAAGTGCTGCAGTATCTAAGGGTCGCACATTTCAAACGCTTCATAGCCTCCGACTCTGCGCTGCTCTCGCTGCCGCTGCTGCTGCTGTTGCTGCTGCTGCTACTGCTGCTGATGGTTTCAAGGGCATGGAGACATTGCAGGGCCTCGCAGGCGCTGCCGCCGCTCTGCAGCGCAGCAGCAGCAGAGGCAGCAGAAGCAGCAGCGGATAAAACAGCACTCGATGCAGACGCAGGAATACAAACGCATGCAGTGTGATCAGCAACAACTGCAGCAGCAGCAGCAGCAGCAACAGCAGCAACACCGAGAGTACCGCTGCTCTATGAGACGCTGCAGCAAATGTTGCTGCTAAGGAGCAGACATCTGCAGCTTCCTGCAGTTTCCTCTCCGTGTGGTTTCGTAGTAGCCCTTCGCGCTGTTTCAGCTGTTGCTGCTGCTGTTGCTGCAGCAGCAGCAGCCAAGGACGGGGCAGCGAACTCGCAGCCGCGTCTCCAGGCAGGTGAACCTGCAGCAGCAAATGCAGCAGCAGCAGCAGCAGCAGGTGCATGCGGCGCACGAACAGGTGTGCCTGAGAGGTCAGTTGAAGAACCTGAAGGAGCAGCAGCTTCTGCCGTTGCTGCAGCAGCTTCTGCTGCTGTTGCTTCAGCAGCCAATGCTACTCCTGCAGCAGCTTTCTCTGCTGTTGCTGCAGCAGCGTTTGCTGCTGCTGTTTCTGCAGCAGCAGCACAAACACCAGAACGTACATGAGCAGCTTCACTGCTGCACGGCATGAAGAGGTGGCTGTCGATTGTGGGGCCCGTCAGTTGGCTTGCGGTGTACAGCAGCGCGCAGAGAACTTCTCTGTGGCGCTGATGCTGTTGCTGCTGCTGCAGGTGAGAGAGCCTCTGCTGCTGCTTCGGCTGCGCCTTCTGCTGCTGCTTCTGCTGCTGCTGACGCGAAAGCTTCCTCTCGCCTACAGAGCCACAGTCGATACCCGCCTCTATTACCACCCGCAGCCACAGCTGCAGCAAACAAGACAAGCAAAGAACTCACACTGCTGCTGATTCTGCTGCCTCAGCAGCAGCAACACAGTCAGCAGGCGGAGAAACAGCAGCAACGCAGTCAACCGCAGGAGCAGCAGCAACAGCACAAGCCACAACAAGAACCGCAGCAGCAGCAGCAGCAGCACCAGCAGCAAGCAGGCCATCATCTTACATCAGCGGCTGCTGAGGCCACCGGGGCACAAAAAAATGGAGCGTGCAGCGCGCAACATGCTTTGCTTCTGCTGCAGTCGCTGTTATGTAAACGGCATTGCTGTTGCTGCTGTTGTGGTTGTTGCTGCTGTTGTTGCTGCTGCTGCTGCTGCTGCCGCTGCCCGCATAGGAAGAGGGCGCGACCCAAGTGCAGCAGCTCATGCCGAAGCTGCAGAGCAGCAGTTGCTGCAATCAGCGCAAACAGCAGCAGATCGCACACGCAGCAGCATCAAACCTAACACCAGCAACAGCAGCACAAGCCGCACTACCCAGCACCAGAGCTGCAGCAATGGCCACAGCAAGTCAGAAGCAGCAGCAGCAGCAGCAGCGCAGCGGGACTGCCGACAACTTTGGCTGCTTCCTTGCGACTACATTTGCTGCTGCTATGCGCAATGGGCTCCAGGAGCAGCAAAGGCAGTAGCAGCAAAGCCAGTAGCAGCAACAGCAGCAGCAAAGCAGCAGCAAAGCAGCAGCTGGAGACTGACACCCTGCGAAGGTTTTGTAGTGGCCCTTGGGGCCCCAGTGCATCCGCAAGGACAAGTTGAGGCCGGAAAAGAAAAGCCTGAGGTAGTAGTAGAGGCAGCAGCAGCAACAACAACAGCAGCAGCAGCAGCAGCAGCAGCAGCAGCATCAAGGCCAGCAGCAATAGCACGGGGTGAACGACTGGCTGCCATACATACAGCTACTGCAGCAGCAAATAGCCGGTAGGGAACTAAAGGATACTGCAGCACGAACTATGAAGAAGCAACAGGTGCAGAAACAGAAAGAGCAGCAGCTGCAATAGCAGCAGAAGCAACTACAGTAGCAGCAACAGCAGCAACAGCAGCAGCAACAGCAGCAACGTCCACTCACTGTGTAAGAGTGGCTCGCAGCAACAAACACGGAGTTCGTCCTGCTGCCGCTGCCGCTGCTGCTGCCTCCGCTAGCGCAGTAAGGCATCGGCAACATATTGCTGCACTTGCTGCTGCTGCTGCTGCCGCTGCTGCGCGCCTGTCTGCTGGAGTTACTGGTGTCCCTGCAGCAGCAGCAGCAAGATCGCCCCATATTGAGGATCTTGATTCGCTGAAGGGAGTGTCCATCCTCTGCTGCAGCTGCTGCTGCTGCCTGCGAGACATCAGTTGCTGCAGCTTGTGGCTGCTGCTGCTGCTAGACTCGGCAACGGCAAGAGGTTCCTGCTGCAGCAGCAGCAGCAGAAAGCATGCGCCAATGCCTCTGGCTAGCGCGCATCCCGCCATCTCCCAGACGCAGGATTGTGCTGCTGCTGCATTTGCTGCTGCTGTTGCTGCTGATGCAGTTGCGGCTGCTGAGCTTGCAAGAGACGCTGCTGCTTCTTCTGCTGCGACTCGCAGCGAATCTGCAGCAAGGCCCACATTCCGGATAGATAAGCTGCTGCTGTTGCTGCTGCTGCTGTTCCTGCTGTAGCTGCTGCTACAGCAACATGAGCAGCTTTGTAGCGCTCTCGCGGTTGCTGCTGCTGCTGTTGCTGCAGCACGCAGGGCCATCCGCTGCTGCGCATGCCGCTGTTGCTGTGGGAGCAAGTCAGGAGCACCAGCAGCAGCAGCAGCACCAGCAGCAGGGGACTGCACATCCATAGACCGCCGCTGCCGCAAGGACGGTGTCCCTGCTGCTGCTGCTGCTGAAGCAAAAGCTGCTATGAGGTGCTGCAGGACTGAGGCCAGCAGCGCGAGCAACGCAGGGAGAGGCAGCGCATGCATCAGCAGCAACTGAAGCACATGCACACTCACAGACACACAAATGTTGCTGCCTTCTGCAACAGAAACAAACACCGCAACAGCAGCAACATATGCGGTATCTGCTGCAGCTGCTTTAGAGTGCCGTCAACCCGCTCCATTATGCTCACGCTTGTACTTCTGCTACTGCTACTGCTGCTGCTGCTGCTACTGCTGCTGCTGCTGCTGATGGTGCTGGTGCTGGTGGTGTTGCTGCTACTGCTGCAAATGATGCTGGTGTCACTGCCAGTGCTGCTGCTGCTGTTGCTGTTGCTGCTGCTGCTGAGTGTGCCTTAGCAGCAGCAACACGTACATCGGAGGAAAATGTTGTAGCAGCAAACGCATTGAACGCCGCCAGGCTGCTGCTGCTGAGCTGTCGGTGGGGATGTTGCTTTACGTGCAGCAGCAGCAGGAGCTGCTGCTGCTGATGCTGCTGCTGTCGGGAGTGCAGCAGCTGCAGCATGAGGGCTATGCAGCGAGCCCCTTGCTGCTGCAAAAAGATAGAGGAGACATCTCCTTGCTGCAGGTCGTCCGTCACTGGCGAAGGGTGTGTGCTGTTGCTGCTGCTGCTGCTGCTGCTGCTGCACTCAGCAGCAAACTCCCGCAGTAGAGAATCACACTGGAGCATCAGTGAGCCCCGTCTTGCCGGAAGGCTCTCCGCTTGCTGCAGCAGAACTGCTGGCTGCAGCAGCAGCTGCTGCTGCTGTTGCTGCTGCCGCTGCTGCTCGTGTTGCTTCTGCTGATTCACGGCAAAGAGAAAAATAGTAGCTGCCTCCAGTCGGCGGATGCGGTGGCGCAGCAGCAAGCCGATGCAGTGCAGCAGCAGCTGCTGTTGCTGCTGCTGCTGCTGCGACAGGTGCAGCAGCTGCATCTGCTGCTGCGCTCGTGGGGATAGCTGCAGCAGCTGCTGCTGCAGGCTTGGTGGGCGCGGCAGAGCCCTCCGCAGAGGCGCCAGTCCTTGCTGCAGCTGCTGCATGTTCCTGTAAAACACCTCAAGGATCTGCTGAGGTGTATCTGCAGCCGCCGCAGCTGCTGCAGCTGCTGCTGCTGCTGCTTCGTCTTCTCCTGAGCCTGCTGCTGCTGCTCTCCAAGTAGGCAACTGCAGCAGCAACAGCCAGCGCGATATAACGGTGCAGCTCCACCAAGTGTCTGCATTGCAGCGGGCTGCTGCAGTTGCAGGAGCCGCAGCAGCAGCAGCAGCAGCAGCAGCAGCAGCCGCGCCTGTAGCAGCGGCAGCACCAGCTGGCTGTAGCAAAGAAGGGCTTGAAGGCTCTTCGCTGCGGCTGTCGGTTGTGCAGAGACACATCTCCTCGAGTGCAACAGCAAACAGCAGCTGCTGCAGCTTCCGCTGCCTGGCACCAAGCAGCAGTTCGTCCGCCGTTTGCTGCTGCTGCTGCTGCTGCTGCTGCTGAAGTGGATGTTGCAGCATAGGACAGGTCGGATGAGGAGGAGCTGCTGTTGGTGGCGGCAACAACATAGCTGTCGCTCCTCCTGCTGCTGCTGCTGCTGCTGCCTCTGCTAGGGAGAAGAGTGTTACGTCCCTGAGTTCGCAGAGCAGCAGCAGCAGCACCGGCTGCATGCGCTGCTGCACCTGCCGCTGCAGCAGCAGCTGCGACAGCAGCAAAGTTGAAATCGATCGAGGGCGGCCATCGGTCCCCAGATGCTCCGCCAGCCCCTGCAACACCTGCAGCAGCTGCGGCAGCAGCTTCTGCTGCTGCTGCTGCTGTTGCTGCTGCGTTTGCTGTGCTGCCACACAGGCAGCAAGAAAGCCGCTGCGGAGACACCCCACAGCAGCAGAAGCAACCGCAAGCAGTGAACACACTGGCAGCAGCCGCTTCCGCTGGAGCCGCAGCAGCCCCGTAGCAGTACAGCCGTCTTGCTGCTGCTGCTGCTGCTGTTGATCAACAGCAGAGCTGCTGGTGAGGGCGAAGGCGTTAGAGAGCTGTTGCAGCCACGTCAGCAGCAGCAGCTGCTGCTGCTGCATGCTGCTCTCTCTGCTACACTTTATGGAGGAAACAGCCGCTGTATTTGCTGTTGCTGCTGCTTGTGCTGCTGCTGCTCCGGGTGGGGCTGCTACAGCTGAAGGCGCGGCAGCGCGAGACAAGACAGCAGCAGCAGCAGCAGCTGCTGCTGCGGTGTCTATCCAGCTTGAGAGGAAGTGCTTGCGCCGCAGAGTCACGTGACCGTGGGTGATAGCTGAAGGTGCTCGCTGCAGCAGCAGTTGCTGCTGCTGCTGCTGCAGCTGCTGCCGCTGCTGCAGCGAACCAATTTTTCTTACAAGTCTCTGAGGGGAGAAGACATCTCCCGCCTGCTGAAACCTCTGCGCTAAGTTCGCGCGCTGCTGCGGCGGATCTGCTGCTGCTGCTGCTGCTGGGGATGGTGGTGAAGGCGCTGCAACTAGAGCAGCAGCAGGAGCTGCAGCAGGAGCGACAGCCGCCTGCAGATCCTCAGCTGCTGCTGCAGCTGTCGCTTCGTGTTGCTGCTGCGCATGCAGACTGCTGCAGCGGGCGCCATTCACCAGCAGCAGCTGCTGCTGCTGCGGTTGCTGCAGCGACGCGAGGGTCCGTCGCAGCGGCCTCCGTACGGTCACAGCCGCTGCAGCAGCAGCAGCTGCTGCAGCAGCTGCTGCTGCAGCAGCTGCTGCTGCTGAGGGGGCTGAGAAAGCTGCATCATCACCAGAGGAAACAGAGCGTCGCAAGGAGGCGCTGCCGCCAACGAAGGGAGACGGCCTTACAGCAGAAGAAGTGAAGGGGCTGCTGCTGCTGCCGTTGTTGCTGCTGCTGCTGCTGCTAGTTCGTCTATACACCGGACCAACAGGAGACACCTGCAACGCAATGAAGGAACAGAGCCGCTGCTGCAACACCCGAGGCAGCTGCTGCTGCAGTAGCAGCAGCACCTCCACCAGCCGCCGCAGCCGCTGTTCTTCCCTTGTCTCTGCTGCTGCTCCTGCTGCATGCAAGCAGCCCCCCTGCAGCAGCAGCTCTGCTTCTGCTGCCACTCGACGCAGCAGCAGCGGCCCCACAGTCTGCAGCAAATCGCTTAGAGCGGCAGCGCCACCGCTGCGGAGCTGCAGCAGCACAAGCAGACAGCAAACTGCCTGGTGATGCAATGGATGCAAGTCAAGCAGCACCAGCAGTAACAGCAGCAGCAACAGCAGCAGCAGCAACAGCAGCAGCAGCAGCAAAAGCAACGCCGATTCGGGTGTACACGCAGCGAAATTACCTCTCCATCGTCTCGGATGCAGCAGCTAACCGCCTCCGCAGCAATACCCTGCAGCAGCTCGCACTCAGCCATCTTGCTGTTGCTGCTGCGGGTGGGGCTGCTGTTGCTGCTGCTGCCGCTGTTATTGCCGCTGCTGCTACCCCTTCATGGGTCCTGCCGCCGCCGCTGCTGCTGCTGCAGTTGCCGCGGCGATCCCAGCAACATCAGCTGCTGCTGCCCTGCTGCTACTGCAGCAAGGAAGAGGCCCCCTAAGCTGCAGCATCCACTTTCTCTCAGTTATAGACTGAGGAGTGCAGCAGAACAGCAACGGGGGAAAGACCGCAGCAGCAGCAGCAGCTGCTGCTGCTGCGGCCCCTCCTGCTGTTGTTGGTCTGCTGCTGCGGTTCTTGTCTGTGTAGGCGTGTCTGTAGCGGCTCTTCTGCTGCTTCACGCGCGGTGCTGCTGCTGGCTCACTATGGCAAGCAGCAATAGCAGCAGCAACAGCAGCAGCAGCAGCAGCAGCAGCAGCAGCAGCAAGGCCTGCGTTAGGTTCCTTCACCCAATGAGCCCCCACTTTGTTTTTGCTACGGAAGTGCTGCCTTTGGCGCTGAAAGATCGACAGCAGCAGCAAATTGCAGCAGCAGCAGCAGCAACACCACTAGCAAGGGGAGCCACCAACCCCAAAAGCTGCAGTCCTCAACACTCCTTTCGATGGTCTCGTATATTAATTTTAATTATTTCAGCTAGTAACAATTAAAAGCAATTGATGTAAAGGCAGCAGCAGCAACGTCTATACACCCCAGGAGAGAGATTCCTCTCCGCCGCCGACGGGGGCCCGCAGCAGCAGCAGCAGCAGCAACAGCAGCAGCAGCAGCAGCAACAACAACAGCAACAGCAACAGAAATAAGATTCAACAATGTCAATTCTTTTAGGAAGGACAGCAGCAGCTGCACCGCAGAAGCGGGAAGGAGCAGCAACTCCTCAGGCAGCAGCAGCTGCAGCAACAGAAACCGAAGTTACAGCAACAGTAACAGCAGCAGCAGCAGCAGGAGCAGCAGCAACTCCTGCAACTCGAGCTGCGTAAAAGCAGCACCCGAAACAGCATCTGCAGCAGCAGCTGCTGCTGCTCTTCCGGCCGGGTAAAGAGGACCAATAATGGTGGGGGGGTGCAGCAGCAGCACGAGCAGCAGCAGCAGCAGCTCTTGCTGTTGTTACAGCAGCAACAGCAGCTGTGCTGCTGTGCGAGCGACCCTCTTTGGCTCCCCTGAGAGTAGCAGCAGCAGCAGCAGCAGCAGCAGCAGCAGCAAAGGGAAAGCAGCAGCAGCATTAGATGTCCACCTCTCAACTTGTCTGCTGCTGGAGGTGGGGCTCCTCAACATATTAGTCGACTGCCCGTTGCTGCTGCGCTCTTTGCTGCATTCAGCTCCCCTAGGCTACCAGACGCTTGCAGCAGCAGCAGCAGGTGCTGCTGCTGCTGCAGGCGCTGCATTTCCTGCAGCAGCGGGAGCAGCAGCAGCAACAACAACAACAGCAGCAACAGCAGCAGAAGCAGCAACGGAAGCAGGAGTTGGCGCATCTGCTGGTCGTCTACGCTGTCAGCTGCGGCTGCAGGTGCAGCAGCTGCTGCAGCAGCTAAACGGGAGACCCCTTCATGCAATCCTTATTACGAACCCTCAAGGGCTGCTGGGGGTGCCTTTGCTGCTGCAGCAGCTGCAGCAACTGCAGCAGCAGCAGCAACAACAACAGCTGCCACTCATCCTTGTCACGAAGCCTGCGGCCTTGCTGGGATGTACAGGCATCTCCTTCTTGCGGTCTGAGCAAGGGGGTTGCGTACTGCCTCCAGCTGATGCTGCAGCGGGACCTGCAGCAGCAGCAGCAGCTGCTGCTGCTGCAGCAGCAGCAACAGGAGGAGCAACGACAAGGGCAGCAACAGCCCGAAGCGCACCCGCTGCAGCAGGGACCGAGCAGCAGCAAGACGGCACTCTGCTGCTGGAGGAGAACAATGATGATTTGCTGCTGCTGCTGCAGCAAGGCAGCAGCAACAGGGCGTCTAACCTCAAAGACCTCGAGGCTCTGCTGCAGCTGTGCAGCTATGGGCAGCGTCATTCGCTCCGAGCTGCTTCTGCGCTGCCGTGTGCAGCAGCTACAACAACAACTGCAGTAGCAGCGGCACCAGCAGCAGCAGCAGCAGCACCAGCAGCAGCAGCAGCAGCAGCAACTAGCTTATTCCAAGAGTACACTGTCACTCCTTTCAGCAGCGGGTTTTGTTTAGGGGGCGCCAACTGGCTGATAGAAACCCCCTGCGGCAGCAAAATCTTTATTGTGGGCCCCAGCAGCAGCAGCAGCAGCAGCAGCAGCAGCAGCAGCAGTGTGGTGTTTCAGCGGAGCCCACTTGAGGCTGACTGGAGCTGCTTGCCGGTTGCTGATGCTGTTGTCTTCTTTGAATGCCTTCCCCCTCGGCTTCGCGCGCCTCCGAGCAGCAGCAACAGCAGCAGCAACAGCAGCAGCAGCAACAGCAGCAGCAACAGCAGCAACAGCATCAAATCAGAGCCCGGCAACAGTGAAGGCAGCAGCAAAATTGGTACCTCTGCTGCTGCCAGCGATACAAACAGCAGCAGCAGCAATAGCAGCAGCAGCAGCAGCAGCAGCAGCAGCAAAACAGAGGGCAATGCTAAGCCCCGCGGGGAGGTGTCTGTTCAGCAGCGGCTGCAGCTGCTGCTGCGCGTGATTTCTGCTGCACTTGCTGAGGGCAGCAGCGTGCTCCTTGCTGCTGACCCTTGCGGCGTGCAGCAGCTGGATTTGCTGCCGTTGCTGCTGCGGGAGCTGCAGCAGCGGCCCTCTTCTGCTGCTACCTGCATATACACCGTAGGCTTCAATGTGCCGCTGCTGCTGCGCTGTGCAGATGAGGCAGTGGAGTGGGTGCAGCCTCGGCAGAAGCAGCAGCAGCAGCAGCAGCACGTTCGTGGGGAAACGGCAGCCGCAGCAGCAGCAGCAGCAGCAGCAGATCTCTGCTGCGACTCGCCCTTTGGATACTCGGAGCTGCAGCAGATGCACCGACTGTTTGCTGCTGAGCTGCTGCAGCAGCTGCCGCCTTTAAGGAGGCCCTGCGTCGTGCTGGCTGCTTCTGCTGCTCTGCGAGTGGGTGCTGCAGCACAGCTGCTCCAGCAGTGGCGCAGCAGCAGCAATGCGCTGCTGCTGCTGGTGGACCCCACATTTGCTGCAGCAGGAGACATCGTCAGGCCTCCCCCACTGCAGCAGCAAACGGCTTTCAAGCAGCAGCTGTCGCGGGACCTCCAGGTGCTGCTGCGGCGCTACCAGCAGCGTCAGCATGGTCGTGCTGCTGCTGCTGCTGCTAGTAGCAGCAGCAGCAGCAGCGACAGCAGCGCGGTTGCTCTTGCAGGCGTGTTGGAAGCGCGAGCGAGACAGCTGGGAGCAGCTGCTTGCGGCTTGCTGCTGTGGCCCTTCCTCTACGATGAGTCCTTCGTAAGCCCCTTCTTACAGCAGCAGCAGCAGCAGCAGCAGCAGCAGCAGCAGGGTTGGGAAGCAGGAGACATGGCGATCCAGCTAGCAGCCATTCCGATAGACTATCGATTGACGGCTGAAGATGTGCTGCTGCTGCTGCAGCAGCACGCTGCTGCTTCTTCGCGCATTGCCCTGCCCTATTTCTTTCAAGGGACTGTCCCTAGCAGCAGCAGCAGCAGCAGCAGCAGCAGTTCTCAGCAGCAGCAGCAGCAGTCGTTTTATATTATGCACCCTACAGCGGTGCTGCCTCTAGAGAATAGGGTAGCGGCTGCTGATGCTGTGCTGCTCTCTAAGTCCTTCTCGCTGCTGCAGCTGGCAGCAGAAGATCTTCAGCTGCAGGGATACGAAGCCCCCGCAGCAGCAGCAGAAGAAGAAGCAGCAGCAGCAACAACAACAGCAACAGCTGCTGCTGCTGCTCCTGAGAAAAAAGCACAGCAGCGGCGCCTTTTTGTTGCTGCAGTTGGAGAAGGGAGTTTGCTGCACTGCCAAGGCGGGAAAGCTACGCTGCTGCCCGCTGCTGCTCCAGCTGCTGCTGCTGCTGCTGCTCCAGCTTCTGCTGCTGCTGCTGTCGTTGCTCCAGCTGCTGCTGCGCCTAACTGCCGCTGCCCCACACTTTTGTTTGGGCAGCCCAATATGCATGCAGTTGAGCGGCTGCTGCAGCAGAAAGGGTTTGCTGCTGAGCTTAATGTTGCTGCTTCAGCATCAGAGGGAGGCCCTTCTCATGTCTGCTGCCTCTCAGCAGCAGCAGCAACAACAACAGCAGCAGCAACAGCAGCAGCAGCAACACCAACACCAGCAGCAGAACTCCACGTCCCAGCGCTGAAGGCATCGTTGAGGTTTTACCCCTGCTGCGGCATCATCGATATACGTACACCCGAAGCAGCAGCACGTCAGGTGCTGCAGCAGGTGCTGCAGCAAGTGCTGCTGCAAGCCACCGTGCATACCTCTGCATGCATGCGCAGCAGCAGTTCTGCTGCTCCCTAAGATGATTTCAAATGCTGCTGCGAGCAGCGCCAATCACCCGGTGGCACATGCTGCTGTAGCAACAGCAGCAGCAGCAGCAGCAGCAGCAATAACAACAGCAGGACTTTAACAGAAGTTAGAGACTTGGGCTGTTGTTTTTCGTTTTATTTCGCGCTCTGATGTTCAGACAGCTGCAGCCCCTTGTCTCTCCTCTGCGGCAGCAGCAGCACCAGCAGCAGCAGCAGCAGCGCAGCAACAGTCGCGTTTCATCCAATATCGGGGGGTCTGCTGCGCAGCTAGCTGTGGCTAGCTAGCAGCAGCTAGCTATGGCCAGCGGCACGTGCGGCAGCAGCAGCTGCATGCAGTTAGCCGTTCAAAGGGCTGCCTCTCTGGAAAGAGACAGACACCGTGCTAGCTGCTGCAGCTAGCTGCTGCAGCTAGCGGCAGCAGCTAGCTGTTTGCAACGACTCCGTTCAGGCAGCCTATATACCCCTTCGACTGAACCAGATACGCAGCAACTCCCAGCTAGCTGCAACTAGCTAAGAGCTGGCTAAGAGATAGCTTGGTGTAGCAGCTGCTGCTCCGAACCCAAGCTCAGCAGCAGCAGCTGCTGCTGCTGCAACAGCTGCTGCTGCATTTGTTTCCCCTCATTTTTTTTGTTTTTGTTGTTTTGTTTATCTGTCTTTGTCTCCCTATTGCCAGCAATGCTGGCGTAAATGTTTATTATCTGCATGTTTATATTTATAATTTGTTGTATGCATAATATATTTAATATATATGTTGTGTTAAATGTATATTTAAGTCTCTCTCTTATTTAAATGCAGCCGTTTGTGCTGCTGCAGTTGCTGCTTTCTCACCTTTATGCTGCTGCCGTTGCTGCTGTTGCTGCTCCTGTTCAGCAGCAGCAACAGCAGCAGCTGCTGCCAACAGCTGCTGCATGCGCCAGCTGCTGGTTTTGCGGCTCTCCTCCTTAATACACAAATACAGAGTTTAAATAAATTTAAAGAAAGCGTTTGCCTGTCTAAAGACAGCGACGCTATCTATGATGCATGCATGCATGCATGCATGCATTTCACGCTTTTACTGCATGCATGCATGCATGCATGCACCTCGCTTTAATTGCAAGCATTCATGGATGCATGTACTTAAGTTTTAATTGCAAGCATGCATGCATGCATGTACTTCAGTTTAATTGCATGCATGCATGCATGCATACATACATACATATCTAGCTCTAATTGCATGCATGATATGCATGCATGCATGCATGATTTGCATGCGCATGATTTGCATGCATGCATGCATGCATGCATGCAAATGGAGAAGTAGAGATGGTGATGCGTTTAGCTGTCAATGTATAAATTAAGGTCTGGGGTGTATTTAAATATATTAAACAATTCGTAGTAATGAATTATTTTTGTTTTTTATTGTTTGATATTATTTATTTAAAATAAATAAATAAATAAATACATCAAGTGCAGCAACTGCGAGAAGAAGCAAAGAAGCGTATCGCGTGTTGTAGTGCTGCTGCAAATAGAAGCAGAAACAGCTGGTGCGGTGCTGCTGCTGCTGCTGCTGCTGCTGTTGGTGCAGCAGCTTATCTTCTTTGCTCTATTTATATAAATAAATATATTTGCTGCAGTAATGATTCGGGTGTATACGCAGGTATATTCCCCTGTGTAACTTCACCTACGTACAGTAAACAGACTTTTAATCTGCATTCATCTACCTGGCTGCCATCTGTATGCGCTCATTCTGCTGCTGCTGCTGCAGCAGCAGCAGCAGCGCTGCAGCAGTTTTAGTGGCAGCAGCACTTACAACCCGCGAGACGCCTTTATGGTTATTCTCGCAGTTGCTGCTGCTGCTGCAGTTGCTGCTGCTGCTACTGCACTCTGCTTGAGGAGAACAACAGTCAGCGCATGCCGATAAACTACAGAAGCTGCAGCAGCAAAAGAGATTAGCGCTTGTTGCTCCTGTGCTGCTGTTTGCAGCAGCACTGCTAAGAGCAGCAGCAGCAGCAGAAGCAGCAACAGCAGCAGGGGCTAGCTACACCTATCTGCTTTGCATTGTTTAGTAGATATTAGTGTTTTAATTGAAGTAATTAAATTGAAAAAGAATTTATTTCGGAGTTTTAAAATAAAAATATATAAAAAACAAAAATGCCGATAGAGTGGGTGTTCCAGCAGACAACAACCGACAGCCCCAGCGGCATGTTGTAAATTCTTTGTGTAAAGTTGTATGCATTTATGCTGTTTTGTGAATATATTTATAATAAAATATATTTATATTTATCTTCAACTGAAGAAAAACTCTTCTTTAGACCTCCTTAAGCTGCATATACACCCTTTTACACCGCACGCAGCTTGAGCTGTATGTACAGCGAAACAGCACAACGGAGCCGTCTGTTATTGTTGGGTTTTCACTAAATTTATTTCTTTTATTCTGCTTTTCTTCAAACCTTCTTCTTGCAGCCACCTTGGGAGACATGTAGGCCGCCGCCGCCGCCGCAACAACAACAACAACAGCAGCAGCAGCAGCAGCAGCAGCAACAGCAGCAGCAGCAGCAGCAGCAGCAGAGAAACAAACCCATTCACATTTATAATTGCACACATCCGGTCTTAGATACTTTTTTGTTTTTGTTTGACTTTGTCTGCTGTTGTTGCTGCGTTCAATCCCTCTACCTCTTCCTTCTTGGGTCTGTTGCGTATTATACATAATATATACTAATATTAAATAAATATATATATATATATATAATATTATATATAGTATTATATATAATATTATATATAACATTATATATATTATATATATAACTTATATACTGCATACTGCAAAGCACAGCGTTGCATGCAGTAAATATATATAATTATAGGAACGAACATTATATATATATATATATATATATATATATATCATAATTTCGTGCGCAACAAAAGAAGTAAATAAATAAAAATAAAGAAAAGAGAAGTAATTAAATATTGTATATATAAAATTAGAGTAGAAGATGCTGCATGCAACATTACGTTGGAGCGCATTGATAGGTTTAGCAATATTATTTATATTTCAGCAAGTGTTTGAACCCCTTGTAACTGTCTGGGTAGCATTAGGAGAGTTCTTTCATTGTGCAAGCTTTGTTATTCTTGTTGATTTGCTCATCACTAACAGAGGCTTCAAAGGCCTCAGCTGTAAAACTCAAATACTCTTTCTTCTCGTCTACTGGTTTAGATATTTTGATAGCTTCTTTACTCAACATCCTAACCACTGGATCAAGGTAAGCATCATAAATAAATAAATATAAATAAATTAATTAATTAATATAAATTAATAAATATATATGTATATATACGTACACATATATATATATGCATATATATATAGATATGCATATAATATATACATATATATATGTATTATATATATACATATATAAATTTAGTTTAATACAATATATATATATATATATGTATATACATATATATATATATGCACATAATATATACATATATATATATATACATATAAATTTAGTTAAATACAATATATATACATATATATATATATATGTATATGCGTAACTGCAAGACAAACTGCAGTTAAATGCATACAAAAGCGAAGCCGAAAGAAGTCTAACCAGAACAAAGCAGCGAAATAAACAAAATATATATACATTTATATTTATTTATTTATATTTATTTATATTTATTTATTTATTTATTTGGATGTGTCTGTGTGTGTGCAGGCATTGAAGGTTTTTTATATGCTGAGTTCTTTATTTTTAGTGCTATCTTTGTTTTGTTTGCGAGCAACGTGGGAGAGACGAAAAGACTCGTGTTCTTTATTTGTTTTGTTTGCTCTTTCTTTACTTTTCGGCTCTGTTAACTTCTTCTTAGATCCTCTTACACCTGCAACTACTCTTGAACGCTCTCTGCAGTTCTTCTGGGTCGTCTCGCATTATCTTCAGGTGTATATCACAAACAAAACACTAAAAATCTGCACATTTGCATGCATTATATATGCATTTCTCTAATATATATGTATATATATATACATTTATATATATATAAATATGTATATATATATATATTTATATATATATATTTATATGTTTATATATATTTATTTGCATTGTTGCATTATTATGTGCTTATTTTATATATATATATATTTGCGTGCATTTATTAATATATTTTTGTCTACATTATTTATTTTTGTTTGTATTTATTACATGTCTATACATATGTTGTATATCTTTATATATATATATATATATATATAATGCATTTATATCATATATATTTACTTGCATATCAAATGTATTTATATCTATATTATATGTATGTATAAATGCATAAATATGCATGTGTGTGTATATGTATGGATGTACACGTAGATATATATATATAATATATACATGCGTATAATATATATATATATATATAACATATATATATTATATTCATATATATGTATATATATTAGCGCAGATGCGGGTGTGCTTGCTCATACATATATTTCTTTGTTTATATTTCTTATGCTTTTTCTGCTTCTTACTCTAAATCTGCTGCTGCTGCTGTTGCTGCTGTTTTTGCTGCTGTTGCTGCT